TTTATAACCTAACAAGATCATCATCTTCGGGATTAGACTGAATTAACTCAATTTCTCGTACAGTAGGTTCGTACTTGTTGTTCTGAAAAGAGTTTCTCATGATCACGAAGGAGCAGGTTTTCCGGAGGTAGATTTTCTCGGATAAGTTAACATCCGTTTATGAGGAATACTATTCGTGGCTGTATACAGTAAGGAACGAACTGAATAGAGGGCGTCAGATAAAAGGGTTTCCCATTAATACACAGGTAAACCTTTCGATTTTTACGCTAATTTGATCGTCCTCCAAAGAGTACCGTTCATTTTCTTCACTTGACCGTTTCCCCACTGGTTTATGCAGTAGACTAATCGCTATTCCTTTCTCTTGAAAAAAAATCTCCTTCTCCGACATAAAACTAGGTCTCCTGTCAGAGTGTATATAACATGGCATACCAAATATACAAAATAATTTACTTAAACATGTCAATACTGTTGTAGTGAGAAGGTTCCTTTATGCAAATTGAAAGAGAAACGACTAGAGTTATCAATGATAATCAATAAATATTTGTTTCCTCCTCAGTTTCAAGTAAATGATCCTTTGAAATGTATATTCAAACTTTCGAAGGGTTGAGTGGCTTTGATTAATTTTTTCTCCTCCTCTCACAAATATTGGCTTTTCTGAAGCACACAAACATTACATTTTTCAGTTATTCTCTTTACTTTCTCTGTTGAATAGGGCAAATTTCACGACCTAATAAATGTATCAGTCCTTATACTCCAAGATAACATAGATAATTATGTAATTCCTTAAGGTCGATATTTACGACAGAAACGCAATTTACTCTCGTTAACGCTCTTGGGCTTGCGTCTTCAATACCCGGTCGATATCTGATACCATATTTGTAAGGGGAAAATTTAATTCGTCAGCGATGAATTTTGTCGTTTTTAGTCTTCGAAGAATTAATCTTATCAAAAATGTAGGATATAACTTTTTGGTACGTGAAAATCGGTATCCCCCCACAAGTAACCTTTTATAGTAATGACTCCATTCCTTGATTGCTTCAATGATCGCATTAGCTTCTTTCTCTATCGGGGAGTGGTTTCATTCAGAGGTATCTAGAGTTTGGGTCAAGTATGCAACAGACCTAATTCCTTGATTTAACGCCACAGCTAAAGTCACGTAGCTAGCATCACTTTCAATTTCAAGGGATATTTCCTCGACCAGAATGTGTACTACACTCTAATTCCCTTTTCAAATATTCATTTTATTTTAGCAGATAAGGCGAATATAATGTCGTTATTTAACGGGTGAATTTTTAGCGAATAGTTTCGAATTTAACGAGTGTAGTAAGCGAACATTCTAACGATTCTCTTCTGAGATTTCATATTACCTGGAGGAGGGACTTCTCGCAGAGGTCTCATCCTTTCAGTGCTTCATTCAATGGTACCTTTACTTACTTCACAGCCCAGAAGTTTATTTTCGTTACTCTTTAGACACATTTATTCTCATTTAAGGTGAGACCGTAATTTTCAATCAATTCTTTGAATCTCACCAAGTTTGTCTCATGTTCTCTCTCATTAATACCGCAAATGGTAACTTCATCTACATAATCTGTTACATTTTAGCCTTCCTATTCCATTATTTCATTCATAATTCTTTGAAACACAGCCACTCCATATGTGATCTCAAACAGCATCCTCTTGAAATTATGCAATTTCCTACTGGCTTCAGAAATCGAGTAAGGGTAGTCTGCTTTACGTAGGCGAACTTGATACGCACTTTTTAGGCCTAGTTTAGACTACAGACTATACTTTGCTATTTCGGAAACTATCGTTGTAATTTTAAGTAGAGGATAGCTATCTTTTAGGTAAAACGAGTTATCGTTTGCGAATAATTTATGCCTAACCTTTTGATCGTCTCTCGTCCTTAGTTTACGCTACTTGCGATATCCATGGAGATCTAATGAGCTCAATGATATCTGAATCCAACAGGCTTTTTATTATCCTTAGCCTTATAAATGCCTCCTCTAGGGTATGATAGGAATTTCACAGATATAGCCCTACAATCAGGTGACAGATTTTCAAACAAAGGAAGACGTGACATCTTCATGCTAGCTAGTTCACGCAATTTTAGGTGGGGGGTCTGTGGCTCTCCAATAAAATTTCTACTTTTTGTGCAGGACTTGAAGGTCTTGTCCAAGGATTACATCAGCACATAAATTATCCATTAAGGATTAATTAAATGTTTTGTAACGTTCTGTACCAACCGTAACATTCGCTTTACATTTTCCTACATTTTTTAATAAAAAGTCAGATGTAGACATACTGATGGTAGAGTTAGTAGGTCTAATGTCCAAACCAATAGACTTGGTTGTCTTGGAGTCGATAAAACTAGGACTACTTTCCGAATCTACTAGAGCGATCATTTTTTTTCCGAGGTATTTTACCCTGGCTTCCGAAACTCTCTATAGCACAATAGTTCCCGAGGCTATGACGGGTAATGCAGCAGAAAAATTATTAGCTTTCAAACAACAAACATTAACGAAATGACCTTCATTCTTGTAATTGTAGCAACTCGTTCCTGGAGCCGGGCACTTACTTCTAGGGTGCCAAGTGACTTCGCAGAAAAAGTAATTTTTTTTAAAAAGGGATTTGCTAGCAGCGGATGTCCAAGAGTTTTCCTCCTTTTGATTTTCCTCTTGATGAGAAGTTAGTCCGGGATTCCTATACCGACGCCGCTTAATAACTTGTTTGGGTGTCAGTAGAATAGGCTTCAGAATTGAGGATAACCCTTACCACACTTTGCACTTGATTTCCAACTCTTGTGATGGTGAGAGTTTTATTTTCAAAAGTCTTTGCCGAATAGGAGGTGCCGATAACCCAGAAATAAAGGTATCACTGATAGTTTCCTCATTGTAAATTTAAAATCTTTGAATTTACAGTTCTTCGCCAGAACGTGCAATGCTTGAAGATATTGACCTAAGTATTCTCGCGCCCGTTGAGTTCTAGCTGAGTTCTAGCTGCAAGTACATACTTGGTGTATATCTCAATTTTTTCTTGGACGAAAGCTTTCTTTAGTATGTTAATAGATTTTCAATGTTTATACGTTCGATGACCAGTTCGTATACATCAGATGACACGGAATTTCCAACTCCTCACCCTCAATATACCAGAGGAACTTTAAAAAATATTCGGTACTAATGATTCCACTGGGGGTCATAATATCTAGATCCAGAATTTTAGGTTTAGTACGCAGTCGATATTGATATCCGAAGCAAAATATTAGTAGCGAATAGTATGTTGTAAGTTATAATTAGTTTGAAATATTCACAACTATTTCTCTAGTAGTTTAGTCTTCAAGGTTAAGACAGGTGCTAGCTTCCATTTTGCCCACGCAGAAACCGGATGTGACACAAGATCGAAGTTTAAAGTGGTTTCTATCTAGCCCCTATCGAGGAAGAGGTACTGCCTAGGGGGATAATACCTGTGGACCTTGGCCATACCAATCCAAACCAATGCCCGTACTAGTTTAGCCACCACCTGTTTCGACTGCTATTTATTTGGTGGATATGAATACAACAACTACGAAGAGTCAAAAGATTGCACACTGATCTGCAATTATTTTCATCCTGTAAACTGTTACAATCCAACAAAATAACCGTTAGAACAATAAGACGACCCATAATTCATCACTGACTGTTATATATAAATCATCGAGCAAAAACGCAACACATATGGGCTGACGATTGTAAGTTTGTTTGTATTAAAGTGGCGTTTCTGGACAATTTAATTTTAAAATTCTGGGATAATTTTTTGTTCCAAATTAGCAACAGAAGTCATCGAGACAATTTCTTACCTAAAAAGGAACAGTAACTTCAAAGCAGAATATTTTTCGTCATTCAAAAAAGTCCGCTCACAGTAAATTTTTTCTTAATATGATGAGTGATGCTTCCAGACATCGTAATAAAGAAGAGCATTTAACTACATGGATTGAACATCACTATTCATTTCATTACCCCTTAGAATTAGATGTTAAATTTTAAAGTAGATATGATATTAACATTAGAAGTTGAAACCTACCCTGGATACGACTTTAAAGTTTAGATATTAAATCCTATACTAGGTATAATAATACGATTAGAACTTAAACACTTTCTTAGATACAGTTATATGGGTGGATGGTAAAGCATAATTTATGTACAATATTACAATTAGATCCAAAACACTTCTTGGACACAAATTTATGGTTGCATGTTAAAGCCTATCCTAGGTGCAATATTAGGATTATATCTTAAACGCTTACAACATTAAGCTTTCTTGAACAAAATGTTATGGGCAGATGTTAAAGCCTGTCCAACGTACAATGTTATGATTAGATATTAAACGCTTTCTTAGACGCAATTTTATGAGTGAATGCTAAAGCCTATCAAAATTAGAATATTACGATTAGATCTTTAGTGCTTTTTTGGACACAATTTTATGGGTGGATTTTAAAGCATGTACTACGTACAATATTGCGATTAGATCTTAAACTCTTGTATGGTCACAATTCTATGGTTGCATAGTAAAGCCTATCCTATGTACTATATTACGATTAGATCTTTAACGCTTACAATATTACGATTTCTTGGACACAATTTTAGGGGTAAATGTTAAACCCTACACTCGGTACAATATTACGATTAGATCTTAAACACTTTCTTGGTCCCAAGTTTATGGATGGATGTTAAAGCCTATACTAGGTAGAATATTACGACTAGATCTTAAACGCTTTCTTGGTCCCAAGTTTATGGATGGATGTTAAAGCCTATATACTAGGTACGATATTACGATTAGATCGTAAATGCTTTCTTGGACACAATTTTAAAGGTAGATTTTAAAGCCTATCCTTGATACAATGTTAGGATTATATCTTAAATGCTTTCTTGGACTCAATTTTATGGTTAGATGTAAATGCCCCCCCCCCTGTACAGAATATTACAGTTAGATATTAATGCCTATCTTGAATATGGTTTTATAGTTAGATGCTATTATCTACCCCGGATACGAATATAGGGTTAGATATTAAACACCATCTTGGATACAACTTCAGTTACATGTTAATAGCTATCTTGGATAGGATTATTTTGATAGATATTAAACGCTATTCTTGAGAGAATTCAACGTTTTTTCTTCTTGTAAAATCTCATAATGATGCTCTTTTGATTTGGCATTGAATATATTTTCTATACTTGACATTTTCCTTGAAAAGCTATTAAAATCGCGTAGAATACATTTTTCAAACGCTTATTAAAACAGACTACATTTGAAAGATTTTACCAGCAATAAAGATCTGAATGTACTTCAGGATTTCTGAAGCCTTATCAACAATATAGTTCAGCAATATTTAAATCAACTTAATATTTTCATTTTCTAAAAGACGTCAAATGCAATTTACATTCTTCATTAAACTGCTTTTGGCTGAAGTTTTCTCTTTGGAAATGTTTCCTCGGTGAAGCGTATTATGAAAATGTCCCGATATCTAAGCCGAAAGACAAAATTATGTAACACATTTTATAAAATTAAATAATTAATATTTCACTTTTTTTCTTAGTGTTGCATTTATTTCTTCGGATTTGCTACATTCGATGGTTTTCGATGCTTAGCTTTTCCCATCGCAAGTAAAGTAAAATGTTTACTCTACTAATTAATATTGCACTAGGAATATAAAAGTTTTGCCCGCTTTTATAATCATATTTGTTTATCCTAGATTTTGTTTAAAATCAGATAAACAACGATCTCCCTATGAAATAGCTCTCTTAATTATTCTTTCCATCTTTCATGTATCTTTACTTTATGCATCCTGTTGAGGAACGTGTTTTTCCCCTTGCTATGGTGCTTACGACTACATCATGTTAAAACGCTAGTTCCAGTACGGTCATGGAAGTTCAGTACCTTGAGGGGTGAACCCTTGCGAATACCAAGTGCTGTAAACTTGAATTTGTGGGTGATGTAATCGATAATTGCTCGGAATTGTTAATCGGTGAGCAAAGTTCCAATTCCTGTTAGCTTTTTTTATATTCATTTAGGAGCAAATAAATCCGGGTAATTGTATAAATCCACCTCTTCTCTCCCAGCTATGGGTTAATTAGTAAGTTTGTATCATTACAAATTATTACCGCAAAAAATAAAGCCTTACAATCTAAAATTATTGTCTGATTGTAAATAACCGGCAGAGTTGATAAACCGTAATAAAACAAATTAACCATTCAATCTCCTGCCATACCTGGCTGCTATGTCCATGGTTGCAATCTTTCTTTGTCTGCACAGTAGTTTTCCCACACATCTTATAACTGTATGCAAATACTTTCGAATGTATTTGCTTAACATGCTATTACTATGATGCAACTCCGTCGTTTTCTCTCTTGTCTCTTCACTAATTCGAGAAATTCATCTTTCATCCACTTCTTTCTTCATTTGTCATATATATCTTTTGCAAATGTGAGTCGTTTTGCTAATACGTTGTTACACAACCAATGCCTATTTAACTTCTGATATATGTCTTTCACTACATCAGCAAATATTTGTCTCACAATTCAGTGTTCTGTAATCTTTTGTGTTGTTCCGGACTGGTGATTGTGTTTAAATTGATCAGAAGGAATTTCGAGGCTGTGTTCTACAACATTCGTCCACAACAATTATTTAGAACAAATACTTGGAACAAATCATGCAAATAAAGTTAAAAACAAGACAAAAGTTGAATGCATAACAATAACATCAATTTATATACAATTTAAATACAGTGGGTTTAAGATTTGATGGATAAATGAGGATTAGTGTATTTTATTGTGTATTGTGTTATTGTGAATGTTTGGGTGCGTTTGCAGGTATTGATTAGATTTGTTCACAGAATTAAACTGTTTGTTTGATCAATGTACAAAAATGTTCGGTGTTGAGGTTGAATCGTTAGTGCATGTACGTGATTGTTGAGTCAGAGAATATTTTTTTGCGCGGCAAAGTCTGAGTTTTGACTGGCGTAGAGTTGATGGTCATCTCTCTAGGTGAAGAGGTCTGACTGGTGAATTGGACTGAAATTCGTCCTTTTATTTAGTTTGGGAAACCAAAGTAGGCTCCCAGTGGCCTGGCGGGAAAATAAATTTTTGACCATGGATACACATTCTAGGGTCGTCTCGACCAATAACAAACCGAGTTTCACAATGTGTGGTGTTGATTGGTCAAAGCTAATTCTTATAGAAGAGTCTATTTTTAACGGGGGTGAGTAGACAAACATTGACGATTCTATAGTGTTGTATCTTAGGCGTTATTTTATGTTTCGTCTATTTCCGTACATTTATTGTTTGTTGACTTACGATTATAACGTCATCCTGTGTATGACGAAAAAATGCATCCGGCAGGAAGGAGGTTTTGAGGAGCGTGGAACCACCTCTTAATTGCTGTTGTCACCAGATCCACCCTAACCCGGGGTGGTGTGATCAGTCAGAGCCCCAGTTATGACAAAATAGTTAACCCCAAAATGGGATTAAAAATAATATGAAAGTAGAAAAATACATTTTTGATTGTGAAAATATTAGCCATGCAGTTTCATAGCAAAAAATATTACCAGCTGTTTAATAATAATAATAATAATACCAGCTGTTTAATAATAATTTTTGGAAAAAAAAAAACTTAACATTAATAAATTTTTGGAAAGAAAATAATAAAGAAAATTACTAATGCTCCCCCAAAAATTAAATTTCGACATTAAATCATACATTAGGAGTTGATATGCCGCTTAACAAACAAACAATCGATTGCAAAGTAATCATACTTACAACAGGCAGTTTGTCAAGTGTGGAGAACTGCATTTTTTATTTTATAATGTATGAGCTTTTACATATCTACCGATGTCTTGGGTGTCCTTGAAATGTTGTTTTGTTTATTACTTAGTATTTTAATGGGAACCAATCAAACAATATTTCGCCGCATGTGTTGCGTGATCCGAATAATATTTGTCAACCATTACCCATTCCTTCTTTGGTATTTTGCTCCCACATGATATTAATTCCTTACGATTTTCATCGACTCTTTATATTATTTCGCATGTAGCTGGACTTCTTCTTCTTCTCTGAAGAATAAAGTTCAGTGACATTAGACGAAGGTTAGCAGGTAAATTTAACGATACTTGAGCACAGTCGGCATATCTTAATGAGTATCAATAGACTGAAGATTAGCTTAACATTGAGGTTTGAGAATTAAGAAACACAGGGACTTTAATACGAACCAGCAGATTAAATTATTTTGCGTTATATTAATAATGTTGTTAAGAGATATATTAATATTATCAAAGCAGATTTAAATAAAATGTTGAAAAGAAAACAGATAATTATTATTTTTAATATGGACTATTGTCCCCATCTTTGTTGTTATCTCAACGCTTAGGCTGTTGTGTTTTCTGGCCTTCCTCGTCGAACATATAGGAAGTTCAGAACTGAAAACCTTTTTTTAATTTACGGGAGTAGATTGTTCTTATGCCCAATGAACCCAAGTACACATTGCGCGGCGTAGGAATCGAACTCGTAATTACTGTATCACCAAGAATCAACTCTTTAATCCACGAGGCTTTTGTCCCGGTCAATAACTCAGTAGTCCTAGAAATAGATAAAAAAAAACTTGGTTCAAAAAGCGAAATCATTTTGCCTTAGGCGAATGTAGTAGGGAACAGATCAGCTGATTCAAATGCTCCATTACTAATCAATCTTTAATACAAATTTTCTAATATTTATTAGAAACATTTCAATTCCTTTGTATTCTGATACAGAACTGCTAGAGATAGTCATAAAATTTTCCAGTTGCCACGCGATATTTAAGACTTCTTAACAAACTCAACAAAAGTGTTTACAAAAACGTTGGAAGACTCGTATCCGCTTAACACCCTAAGCAACAATTCACACGAAGAACTTCTCTCTTCAATACCATTGGAAATAAACTCTTCGTTTCACTCTTTTTGCTTTGTCTATAAACAATTCTTATATCTATAAAACTAAATAGAGAAAACCTATTCTGAATTAAATACATGCCGTAACGTTTGAGATAATCTAAATTCATTAAAGTAGACAGTTTTTCAACAATAGCAATATTTACACGTCCTCCGAGCAGTCCTCATTTCAAACATTCAATTCTGTTTCATATTTCTTACTTTAGGCAGGCATGTGATTGTTAATGTTATATTTGTCTAACCATTAACCCGTAGGTGTATTTTTCCTTCCTATTATGAAAGCATTTTCTTTCGCTTCGTTGCCTTTGCAACTAACTTTGTGCAGCGACCTGTTCGTCATCTGTTATTGCAAGCAAAACGATACAGAGTAATCAATTTCTAAGGTTTCATCTTCCGAATGTTCGCGAAGTTTTGTCAGAATACACACCAGAACAAATAAAAGCGAATTACTAGTTCACGACAGCACATCAGCCACAGGCTGGGGGATAAAATTACATGGGAGGTTTTGAAGATAGTTAACCGACAAATTTTAATATATACTGAAACAAAACATGGATCTGATGACGTCATGAAAAATATTCAATCATTCTTGAAAATTTATCAGCATTTACAAAGTTGGCGATTTCACTTCACTTTCACTTGCTCTCTCTCTGTCTCTGACTCTCTGTCTATCTGTCTGTCTGTCTGTCTGTCTGTCTGTCTCTCTCTCTCTCTCTCTGTATGTATTTCTCCATATATGGGCTTTCTAAAACGTATCTGAATGAGTAGAAAGGCCGATCGCTAAAGTATTCCGGATCAAACGGTTGTTTCTCCTACAAAGCGAGACGCAGGTTCGATCCCTACCGGAGAGAATATTTTCTCTATTAGGATTTCTTGAATGCGTAATAAACAGTGTTTAATATAAAAATAAAAATTGTTTCCCTATTTCAAATATGAGTATCCACTATAAGAACGTTTGAAGTAATACTAATAAATTTAAGAATAATTCTTCAGACATTTATATATATATTATATATATATATATATATATATATATATATGAATAGTGTCCTTTTACAGATATATAGTAATCGTATCTGATTTTTTGCATTTACACACACACACACATATATATATATATATATATATATATATATATATATATATATATATATATATATATATATATATATATATACACACACGTGTAACAACATAATTGTCCATCTCACGAAATGTTTAACGTCTAAAAACTCACTAAACTAATAGAATTTCTGTCTTACAGGCTTTCAGATAAGACGTTTAGCCATCTTGACACCATTCGGCGTAAGAATTACTGAAAACCCCTTGAGGTTTTTTAGCTATAAAGAGAACAGATTAAAATCGTTTGGTATGAGTCCCATTATCTTCTCGGCTGAGCAATGGTGAAAGGGAAAATCATTCAGACCTTCAGTAGTGGTACCAACGTTCATACGCTGGTTTCCATCTTCAAACTGCATCCAAGAACCATCAAGAAACGGTGAATAAATTCTAAAAAGAGGAAGCAGTAGAGAGGAAAACTGGATTAGGAGGTCACAACAGGAAGAGGGATCATCATTTTAACTTAGAGCGAAATGCACCAATTGGAAAAGGTCCGACTCATTCCATAAAACTTTTGGCACGTGCGAAATGAGTTTCAGCTATGAGAGTCGAAAGAACAGTGTAAAAAAGACTTGAAAATGAAATCGTACGTGAAAAGGGTGAGGCACTTTGTTACTCCAGGATAGAAGGTTAGAAGGTTAGAAAGGGCGAAGATCATCTTGAACGAAAATTCATGGATATATAAATGATATATATATATATATATATATATATATATATATATGTATGAATGATAAATTAATTTCAACCCTTCATGAACTTCTGATCCTTATTTATGATTAAATAATAATGAACATCAAGTTATTTTCGGGGGAGAGAAAACAAAATAGAATAAAATAAAATAAAAATAAAAATAAAAATTTAAGGAAAAAAAATAAAGAATTAAAAAATTAGAAAAATGAAAATGAGTTTTCGGTAGAGCGAAATTATACTCACACTGGGCAGCAAGTGGTTGTCCAATCATCGACCTGGTGGAGTGGGGGTATCTACGGCTAACCCTCCGCCCTCACCAAATAGTTGGCTTGGGAAGCATGCTTTCAATAAAATTGTAGAACAACAGGAGAAAGAAACGGCGAAAACAATTCCAAGTTCAGACAATATATCAAGCAAGAAGAATCGGTCACTACATCATGAGAATACTGACGAGACACTGTCGCATCTCGCCAAAGACATTCAATTTTCCATTTTTTCTGATTTTTCTTTCGAACCGGGATTTCTAACTAAACCATCAAATAACTTAGAATGATTGGGACAAAATATGTTACTATGGTCGAACACACTGACGAAGAGTAGGAGAGAGAAAATAAAAATAAAATAAAAATAAAAATTTAAAGAAAAAATAAATAAAGAATTAAAAAATTAGAAAAATGAAAATGAGTTTTCGGTAGAGCGAAATTATACTCACACAGGGCAGCAAGTGGTTTCATCACGATTCTTCTGTTAAGTTTGGAGAGTAATTACAAATTCTTATTGGTCAAAGTAGAGATCAATAATGTTAAAAAACCTCAGAAAATGCCAGTAAAATATGTTTAATCATAAGATACAATAGTTCAGAGCTTAATCTAACAAATCGACATTTTTGCTTTTACACCCGTCACATACATTTGTTTTAAAAAATGACGGAGTGCTTTCGTTAATAAGGAACCTTTTTTGTCTAACACTTCTTCTGAAAGATTCATTGGAACAAATGTCCAAAGAAATCACGACTAAAACAAATTTGCTGTAAATTTTTTTATTCAAATATATTTCTTTCAATGAACTAGAAAAAACATATTTTACACTCTAAATTGAAAAAAAAATGTTAAAAAAAGAAATATTTTTCTCTTCTCTTCATTTCTTGATTTAATTTATAGTCTTCATTGCATTTTCTCTTTCATTCTTAAGGATTCTGTTGACAAAAGTTCTTTTTCTTTCTTTCTACCCTACATCCATATCTTCTTTCTTTCTATCTTTTTTCTTCCTTTCTTTCTTTCTTTCATCTTTTCTTTCCTTCCTTCTAATGGTATAAAAAATTAGTCTGTCAATGTAAAAATGAAAAATGCGTTTTCTATTTGTTTGTTAGTTTCTTTCTTTCTTTTTTCTTTCTTTCTTTCATTTTTCTTTTTTCTTTCTTTCTTTCTTTCTTTGTTTATTTATTTATTTATTTATTTATTTATTTTTCCGGCCATTTTTCTTTCTTTCTTTCTTTCTTTCTTTATTTTTCCTTTCTTTCTTTCTTTCTTTCTTTCTTTCTTTCTTTCTTTCTTTCTTTATTTATTTATTTTTCCGGCCATTTTTCTTTCTTTCTTTCTTTCTTTCTTTCTTTCTTTCTTTCTTTCTTTATTTTTCCTTTCTTTTTCCTTTCTTTTTTCTTTCTTTCTTTCTTTTTTTCGTACTTCTTTTTTCTTTCTTTCTTTCTTCCTTTCTTTCTTTCTCGTTTACGCATTCTTCAATTTCTTCTTCATGCCTCAAGATAGGGTTGATGCAAAAAATCTCATTCTTTCTTTCTTTTTCTTTCTTTTTATGTTAATGCAAAACAGAATATATTTTATTACCTCGTAACCTTTTTTCCTTTCTCTCTTTCTTTATTTCTGTCTCTATTTATTTCTCGTTTACGTATTCTTCCATTTCTTTTTTTTCATGCCTCAGGAGAGCGTTGATGCAAAAAATTTCATTCCTTCTTTCTTTTTCCGTCCTTCTTTTTTCTTTCTCGTACGCATTCTTCAATTTCTTCTTCTTCATGCCTCAAGATGGTGCTGATGCAAAAAATTTCTTTCTTTCTTTCATCTTCTTTTCTTTCTTTCTTTCTTTCTTTCTTTCTTTCTTTCTTTCTTTCTTTTTCTTTCTCGTTTACGTATTCTTCCATTTCTTTTTTTGTCCATGCCTCAGGAGAGCATTGTTGCAAAAAAATTTAATTCTTCCTTTCTTTCTTTTTCCGACCGTTTTCTTTCTTTGTTTATTTCTTTCTTTTTCCATCCTTTCTTTCTCTCTTTCTTTCTTTCTTTCTTTTTTCCTTCTTTATTTATTTCTTTCTTTCTTTCCTTCTCTTTTACGCATTCTTCAATTTCTTCTTCTTCATGCCTCAAGATAGCGTTGATGCAAAACATTTCTTTCTTTCTTTCTTTCTTTCTTTATGTTCATGCAAAATAGAATATATTTTATTACATCTTAACCTTTTTCCTTTATTTCATTCTCGTTTCCGTATTCTTCCATTTATTTTTTTCATGCCTCAGGAGACCTTTGATGCCAAAAAAAAATTCTTTCTTTCTTTTTTCGTTCTTTTCTTTCTTTCTCTCTTTTTTCTTTCTTTCTTTCTTTATTTCGTTTTCGTTCATGTATTCTTCCATTTCTTCTTCTTCATGCCTCAAGATAATGTTGATGCAAAAAAAAAAAAACATTCTTTCTTTCTTTTATTCTTTCTTTCTTTCTTCCTGTCTGTCTTTCTGTTCATGCAAAATCCAATATATTTTATTAGCTCTTAACCTTTTTCCTTTCTTTCTCTATCCCTTTCTTTGTTTCTTTCGTTCTCGTTTACATATTCTTCCATTTCCTTCTCATCATGCCTCGGGAGATCGTTGATGCGAAAAAGTGTCATTCTTTCTTTCTTACCAATGTTTTCGTTAACGTCAATAGTATTTTTTGTTATTTTCTATATTTTTTCTTTGATTCTTTTGTTTGTTTTTTTTCTTTCGTAGGAATTTCTCTATCCCGTTGTTATAGCCACAAGTACAAGAAATTAAAAAAAAAAACTAACAAATGTCCATGGAATCACCAGCGCTTGATTGTTTGCACAGAACTTGGCCAAACTGCGTGTGACAACAAGACATGAATATGACTAAGGTTTCTCGAAAAGTTAACTTTTCAAAAAGGCATTGCTCCAAACCAGAATAGTATATGTTTCTTTTTCACTTGGCAGAAGAAGCCATATCAGAGACATTTTACTCTTGAGCACTGCTTTGGAAGAATTTTGACATTTTCTATCAGCACATCTAATTGCATGCGTAAGCGAGAACTACATATGTATCCCTCTTTGTATGCGTGGGGGCATACCGTAGAGTGTTAATTATATTGTGAGTTCAATACCAATTTGACGTTCATTTTGAAGCAGCTTCCAAACGAGTCATTAAAATTAGTTGCACAGAAGTTCGTGGAAATTTGAGTGTAAAACTAATTTAAATCAAATCTATCGAAGACGAACCATCTGACATGTATATAGCAGCCACAAGAAGGGTGGTGGTCACAAAATTTTAGATCAGATTCCATTTTCTGTTCGATGTGCTTGCTCTGATCGAAATTTGTGAAATTTACGGTGATGCTTCATTATTTCTGTGTGATGATTCGTGTCTCAGTACTTTTCAGTAAGGACTCGTATGATATAGTTAAAACTGTAATTATTTATAGTGATTTTCCAAGCGTAGCTTAGTTGTGGCACAAGGCCGAAAGTATGGCGCACCCATTGAGCATCGAACGCACTATTCAGTCGTAATTGTTCTATCGAGATAACCTTGATAGCCATTACAACACCTCAAGGTGCCCCTAAATGATTTTCTAAATGTAGCTTAGATGCGGCACAAGGCTGAGAGTGTAGAGCACCCAGTGAGAATCGAACTCACTATTCAGTCGTAACTGATCTCGCGAGACAAGCATGCTAACCATTACATCACGTCAAGGTGCCCAAAATATTGATTTTCTAAGCCTAGCTTAGATGTGGCACAAGGTCGAAAGTATGGGGCACCCAGTGAGGGTCGAACTCACAAGTCAGTCGTAACTGCTTTAGCGAGATAAGCTTGCTAACTATTACCCCACGCCGAAGCGCCCAAATAGCGATTTTCCAAGCGTAGCTTGGATGATGCACAAGGCTGAAAGTATAGGGCACCCATTGAGGATCAAACTCACTATTCAGTCCTAGTTGTTTTAACAAGACACCGCCTCGAGGTGCCCAAATAATGATAATCTAAGCGCGGCTTAAATGTGGCACAAGGCCGAAAGCATTGGTGCACCCAGTGAGGATGGAACTCACTTCTCAATGGTAACCAATCTAGAAAGACAAGCTTTCTAACCATTACATCACGTCGAGTTGCCTAAACTGAAATTATTTATATATCAAGAAACTGTATTACTTTTGAAAATACTTCCATTAAGGGAATGCATTTTCTGATCCAATTTGAAAGAGAGAAGGCATGTCAGAAAAAATGTGATGAATATTTGGTAAAGTTCAGTTTTTTGATCTGGAAATTTCCATGTTCATACTTATTTACACACATGTCTTAATAATCAGCCTAGAAAAACATTTATCAGCGACTCACACAGGTTAGATACTGTATAACCAGTTTTTGTAATTTACGAACAGGTTCCGAATGAATTCACAAATCATTTACCAACTTTTACACTTTTTTTCTAAAACATATTTAGTTTCAGTGTCATATTTCCCGACATCCCAGCAGACAACCTTCAGCAGAACCTTTAATTCTGTTATCCAAAAATGTAATATAGTTATTCACTTTATATTCATTCTTATATTAACAAGGTTACAAGTCCAACTGGCTTTTGCCAAAAAAAAAAAATAATAACGAATCAGAAAGCAATTGTTACTGTGGCATTTACACAGTCTCACGGTATTCTAATTTCTAAATCTGAATGTTGATTTGTAAGCCAGATAAAACTCATTCGTTATTGACAAAAAATTTCCAGCTTTGTAGTAATTTTGCAAATATGGCTTCTTCATGATTATATAAAATGTTTTGAAGAAAACAAACATTATTTACACTATTTACATGCGGACTACTGTTCACATCGTTATTGTTATTATCACAACGATGCAGCCGTCGTGATAACGAGATTTGACTGGAATCAGGTCTGTTCAGTTTTCGTTAACTTCTATAGTACAATACGCAGTGTTTGCTCAGTGCTCCAATTTGGGATCTTGACGTAGAGCTTTTCAACTTTTCCTTTTATTTACAATCTGAGAATTTTCATATAGATTTTAAGATAATAAAGTGATTCAAAGCAGTCTTCGCCACGATTTTGAAGTAAGACGTATCCATCTAGTAGTGCCTTTCAATTCTAAAAGTATTCATAGTTCGGAGTTAAATCGATGGATTCATGGCTTTTACGAGGGCATTAGGGTGTTATGCTAACAGCTTATTAACAAAATATAAGCAGCATTGTTTTACATATTACGAGACATTTAATGTTTTGTCTGTATATAAGAAACTGCTGGGATACTTCGCCGTTAGCAAGATTGTCTCGCTAGTCGTGAGTCCTGTCCTCACTCACTAATAAATCGATATATAAACCTTTTGGAATCAATATTTGTCTTTGTTAAATGAAGACAACTTCCACCTACACTGATGAAAAACAATTCTATCTTCGAAGACGTAAACAAACGGCAGTGACTTTTAAAAATCTCAGATTTTCCTCATCGCACATTTAAAGATTTATACTGACACGCAAAAAAGTTTGAATAACTCCAGAGTTAAGACGATGGTTTTTATCAGGTGCTTGATCTTGCAGATCTGACATTAAAGATGTTACAAAAAATCATAAACCTTATCTAGCTATGTATGTTCTGGGTTTTGTTGCCGCGAAGAAGTGTCGAATATGTTGATTTGTAACCCAGTAACATTTTCATTTCTAATTAAGTGTCATTGATAACGCTACAATAATTGACATGCTGCTTTTTAATTTCCTCCTTGTTGGAAATCCTATTCTGTATTTCCAGAAAATCAGGTGAACTTGCTGATTCTTTTATCTATCGGCTTATTAGCTTCTATCGCTATTAGGCAATGTATAAGAGGCTTTCATCAACTCTGAACGGGTTTAGCTTTTCACCTCGCGGGATCTTCATTCAGATAAGTAATGCAGCTTACGCTTCTCTATATCAACTGCTGATTTATTAAATTAAAAGAGTTTATAAAGCTTTAGATAAGAATGGTGAGCTCGGACTGTTCCTTCGTCTGACGGGGTTTGCCATACTGGGCTTCTTTACAAGTTGAAAGGTTATGGCATTTCTGGGCGAATCTTTTAACTGATTCAGTTTTTGTTATCAAATCACGAATTGAAAATTGTCCTCACCGTCAACTTTTCTGGATCTTTTCTCATCAATGCATGTGCCCCCATGCCTCTATCCTTGGACTACGTTGTTATTAATTTTCATCAACGACCTTTCTGATGCCATCACTTCTGAACTTAGTAAGTATGCTCATGACACAACTATTTACTCCTGTCTTAATAGTAATTCTGACCGGCGCTATAAGGTCAAATTGGCAGCTTATCTAAAAAAATAACCTACAATCTGTTGTTAACTGGCGCAAGCGATGGTTTGTTAATTCTAACATATCCAAAGCGAACATATCTCATTCCATCGTCTGCCGTCAGCATATATATGGCTGGTGCTAACCTCAAAGATAGTAATTCATTGCACCTTTTCGGACGAATAATTTCCGCTGACAAGAAATGGAAAAATTATATCAAATTAATTGCAAGTTCTGCTTCTAGGAACGTTGCCAATCTGTTTCGTGTTAAACAATTTTTCTTTGGAGGAATCTATCAAGTATATTTATAAGTCTGTTTTTTTTTTGTCACTGTTGCCACATCTTGTCATGTGCTCTTTCTATATATTTAACGATTTTTGATAAAATCCAAAGAAGAATTTACAATCTTATTGGTCCTGATTTGGCATCTCGATTTCAGTCACTTTCCCACTGCCGTAACGTAACTTCCCTGTGCCTTTTTATAAATACTTTTATGGTAAATTGTTCTAGTGAACTTTCCTCTATGCTACCGAGACTTTATTAATTTGAGTGTAGTACTAGAGTAGCGGTAAGATTTCATGATTTTACAGCTGAAATAGCTTAACCGTAAGTTCTATGATAACATTTTCTTCTTTCGTACTTCTCGCTTGTGGAACACTCTCCCGGCTTTATACTTGCCAGGCAAATGTAAATGCAATAACAGTAGTTAATCTATGTCTTCTTAATTATTGTTCTTTCATTGTTCTCTCTCCTCAATCGTGTTTTTTCTCATATACAAATAATCAGCAAGCCATTGCGTCTTAGTGGCTTCATTGCCTTCCTTGAGGTGAAATAGGTAAGAGAAACCACCGAATGAGAAATCGGAATGAAAATGAAAGGTGATATTTTATTTATTCCAATGTTTATATACATAGCGACAGAGAAAATATTAACTGGAAGGAAACCATAATTATGTTTATACTTAAATGCAGCCGCATTCAAATCCACTAAGCATTGGAATGGCTTCAGCTTTTCTCAATATTTCTTGCTGACACGCGCGTTAGCGATAGACATTTTCTGCACAAGTGAAAAACAGAGATCGATGCTTAAAGGCCGACATTCACTTTTGTTGATATAATGTTTTCTACGGCAAATGTTAGCACTATATACGTTGAAAATCTCGAAGAAGGATTTTATCACTGGACAGGAATTGATCCAAGCATTAATTTCAAAAACGATCTTACTAGTGTATGAACATTTTCTTAGGGAGACCGTTATCTATATTTATTTAATTTGCCTTACAAAGTCGCGTTAGGTCTTTAGTGATGAGTTGTGACTGGTCGATCGTCGCGTCAAATACGAAGAACGGAATAGTTAATTTTTATAAAAAAAAACAACTCAGCCTGTCATTAAACGGAAATAATTTCTCTTGCTTGTCGGGACAGTACTTATGTCGGCTTCGTTCGTACATAAGGAAACTGTCCCAAAAGAAAAGAAATCAAAACGTGGTCAATGACTATATGCTGGTTAACATAAGCATCCAGTTTGCTCACTTGTACGTCGTTATTTATTTAAAAATATGATTCTAAATCGCGACATAAGAAGTCCCATGTTTCAAAACAAGAGCCGAAAACTTCAATATAATTTTTTTAAATTAAATTGAGTTAAAATAAGCTCTGTTCTATCTTCAAGCGAAATTCTTTTTGGAATAACATGTGTTTCGGCTTATATAAACTGATCAATGGTGCATTATGGGTAGTAATATCTATTGTATTATCCAATCGGTTATTGAAGCCGTAACATTTATGTTTCAAATTATTTTAGAAGCTATTAAATTATTATTATCTTGATTTTTAACTTTTAATCATTATTTCTTATCGATTACTTAATTATTTATTGTTGATTATTATTATTACATTTACTTTTGTTTTGTGTGTATTCTTTGTTACTTTGTTTATTATTTAACTAATTTATTAGTTTATTTATTTAGACATTTGTTTGCTCTTTTTTGGTTTTTAGGGGTTCATTATTTTGTTTGTTTAGTTTAAATTATTGGCTTTGCCTAAAGAAATTTACATTATATGCGTTATATAGTGCCTACAATTGCCTTTTTCATGGTGGTATTTTATAAAGTATTCCTCTTTACTTTTCTTTTTTTAAGTTATGTAGTAAAGGATTGTTTTCGTTTCTTCATTTTGAGTTATGACCGTTTATTTACTAATTTATTTTAGTCTGGGAAGGTTATAGCTATTTTCTTCTCCAGACGATGCTTTTAGTTTTTTAATTTATTTTTGTAGACTGATACACCTGTCTCCGTTTTTAATCAATTTAATTATGTCTATGCGGCAGTTTCATTTGAATATTGATCGACATTTTGCTTCTTTGACAGCTTCCTTTATTAAATGCAGCCTGACTGCAATAGCTACGTAAGCCGTTTCTTTTCATGCTCTCCTCTAATCGTAGACACCAGAAATTACATCACAGACTTTTGATTTCACTTCATTATTTCAATCTGGAGTCCAATAAGTTCTCCCTTCTCATGTTTCCAAAAATGAAACAAAAGCGTCCTATTGAATTCTTTAAAATTTTATTCACAACGATCGTAATAAAGAGACAAAATAATCCCGTTATATATTCTTAAATATCGTTGTTTGGGTTTATATTACCGAGTGAAAACATTGCAACTTAAATAAGAATTGTACAATTAATTTATAGGGTTACCTTTTTATATATTTGTTGAAGCTTGGATAAGCATGGAATAATAATAATACAACACAAAATGTACGTAAACAAAATGTATTGAAACAAGAAAAAGGTACACAATATTTACAGTTAGTTTTGGTATATTCTTGGGAAGACTGTTCCTGTAGAATTGGTTGACTTAATCGCAGTCGGGCAGAGTCTCTGGATTGCATCTCTTCTTACTTCCTCCCTCGTCTTCCCGGTACCAACCCATATTTATATGGTCGGTACTCCACTATGTAAATTAGGTGGATCGTACCACAACAACATTATATATGCATTATATATAATTTAGTGAGTTTAAAATTCCCTCATTTAAATCAAATATTTGATTCAAGCATATCGGCTTATCATTATCTGCAGGTGGACTAATGTCTCCATCCCTGTGGTTATTATCAAACGTTTCGATCGTTTTACCCACCATGTTTCTTCAGCTGTCAGTCGATCCAGATAAACTTTAGTGAATTTCAAAGTGAAATCTTTATCTAATCTA